AAGCAACATAAGAACTTAATAAACCATATTTGATACAGGCTAATAGCCAATGAACCTGGACTGCATTTATGGAGGAAACAAGCCACAAAATGCGCAAACCGACAACTAGGCAATACACCACACAGGCATCACTAATTTCAGAAATTCGCAGCACCATTTTTTTTTTCAAATTCCTCCACCCTGCAATGATGGCTACCATCAAATTCTCAAAGAGCTATCAACCAATCAAAAAGCACAAAGTATCACATTCCAAGCAACATAGGAAGTTAATAAACCATATTTGATATAGGCTATGAACCCATGAACCTAGACTGCATTTATGGAGGAAAAAGGCGCGAAACGAGCAACGCGACAAAGAGATAATACACCACATATACATGACTAATTCAGAACTTCGCGGCACCATTTTTCTTTTCTTTTCAAATTCCTCCACCCTGCAACTCTGGCTACCGTCAATTCTGGAGAGCTAACGACCAAGCCAAAAAAAAAAAAAACGCACACGAAGTATCACAAATTCGAAGGTTCCAAGCACCATATAAGAAACCAATAAACCATATCTCCCTCCAGTCTACACTTCCAATCCCACGCAACGCCCCAGTTCGTCACCGCATTGACGAAAGCTGCGAAGCCACCACCGTCGCAGAGCTCCATACGCGCATAATTCAACAAGGTTAGCTCCGGAATTCCCAGCGGGGCAACCAAGCGACCAAGACCTAGCGGCGGCGGTAGCTTGGTCGCCGCCAAACCCTACACCAGGAGAGATCGAGCGGACTCACCGGGGTCGCAGAGCTGGTAGAACTTGTCCACTTCTGCAAAAAGCCACCAACCAAGCAAACAAAAAAGTGCACGTCAGCGACACGGGAGCGGGCCGGCGGGCAAATCCGATAGCGAGCAGGAGCGTAGGGAGTGGGGCGGGGGAAGGGAGCGGATACCTTGGGTGAGGGCCTTGATCATGCCGGCGCGGCGGCCGCGGAAGTCGCGGAAGACCTCCTCCGCCGTGCGGGAGGCGTAGGGCGCGCCAGCGCCGGCGCCGGCGCCGGCGTCCATTTAGGGTTCCGGCGAGGGGGCGGCGGCGGCGGCGAGAAGGGTGTTGGAGGGAGGCGAGAGCACGAGGAGGTGGAGGACACAGAGAGAGACAGGGCCGCAGGCTCGCAGTCCGCAGGAGTGGTGAGGTTTTTATTTGGGAAGGAGATTTGCGTTCGTTTCCGGGAGGATTTGAGCCCCGGCGGTCCGTGCCTTTTGGGCTTGCAACCACAACAAAGTGGCTCTCTGGCCACTGGCCATCATATCTTTTGCCTTTATGGAATCTATCGTCGCCATATCATATCTACTCGTGTTAATTCAATTTTGTTGTAATGTGTTTCCATAGTTTGACCTTTGAATTGGGTGGGACTTGGGACTGTTTGTTGGTGTTTCCAGCTGATTTTTAATATATTTTTGAGGTGATTTAAGGCGTGTTTTGCATTTGAGTTGCTTCCTTTTTTGCAGGGAGTTTGAGTTGCTTCCTATGTACTGTTTTGTTGGAAATGGTGCGATGTGTTCTGTTTTTTTAGAAAAGCTTGTGTCATTTTTGGTATTTGTTTATCGTTTATTTGTTGTTTTTTGTACCTCGACCCATCATGAGTTGGCTTTTCGGAGCACGTGATTATTTCTATTTTTGGACGTGGTTGTTAGTCGAAATGTATCCATTTGGCGAAACCCTAGGTCTAGTTCATCAAGCGATGATGGCGGCGTGAGGCCGTTTCCTCCGAAGGCGATGCTTGGGTTCACGTGGAGACCCGCCAGAGTGAAAGTTAGAGTCGGTGCCATCGGCATGCCTCAACAACAAGGCTTAGGGCGGTGTATTGCTATTACTATGGTGTTGGTTGTTGCCATGGACATGGGCCTTTGAGGCGCTTGTATGCTCTCGCCGCCGCCTTTTGGACATCGTCTTCCTAGGGTCCACATCAAGTCATGTTGCCCATTAGACAATTCTTAGTAGGCATAAAGGGTGGAGGGTGCATAAAGGATGGATGGCGCGTTAACCTAAACTCACCTAAAGTCATGGTCGTTCTTCCGAAGTGTTTGGCATCGGTAATGACATTACTTTGGTACTTCATTTCCCACCTCTTCATCATTCATGGCTTGCAGTTGGATACAATTGTGGTGGGTGTGTGTGATCGCTACTCCCCTGGATTAGGGTTGTATCAACCGTCTGACTCTTCTTCTACGAAATCGATACACCTTTTTGTGTTGTATTCTAGACAGAAAAAATAGGATTGCCTGGCCTTTACTTAGTGGGAGACGACGTCTGGATCTAATACGAGGTTTGCGTTGACTTTGTCAATCTCAAGGTTTGAAGACTCAGACCCCCGAAGGTCTCATAGTGGTAGGGTATGTATGCATATCTTCATAGGAGTGAGTGCACGTGTGTGCATGTAAACGTCATCATTTAGATTTGTCTAAATTTCATAACACTATGTACAACTAAATAAAGGTTAGGTTGGACAAAATTATATTTTAACGTGTGATTGGAGATATTGTGATGTGTTTTATTTTTCTGTAAAAACATGCTTCATTATTAGTATATGTTTATCATTTTTGTTGTTGTTTTGATGCCTTGACCCACCCTAAGTTGGATTATCAAAGCACATGTTTATTTCTAATTTTGGACATAGTTGTTAGTTGAATGTGTTCATTTGGCGAAATTCTAGGTCTAGGCACCGAGCAATGGTGGCGGTGACACCGTTCCCTGCTAGGGGTTTCTTGTGTTCCCGTGAAGACCCACCGAGTGGAAGTTGGAGTCGAAGCCATCGGCCGATCTCGGCAGCAAGGCTTAGGGCGATGCATTGCTATGGTGTTCCTTTGCATTGCTATGGTGTTGGAGGGAGGCGAGAGCACGAGGAGGTGGAGGACACAGAGACAGGGCCGCAGGCTAGCAGTCAACAGGAGTGGTGAGGTTTTTATTTGGGAAGGAGATTTACGTTCTGGGAGGATTTGAGCCCCGACGATGCCTTTTGGGCTTGCAACAACAACAAAGTGGCTCTCTGGTCACTGGCCATCATATCTTTCGCCTTTATGGAATCTATCGTCGCCATATCTACTCGTGTTAATTGAGTTTTGTTTGTGATGTGTTTGCATAGTTTGACTTTTAAATTGGGTGAGACTTTGAGCTGTTTGTTGGTGTTTACAACCGATTTTTAATATTTTTCTGGGTGATGTTTGCATGCGAGTTGCTTCCCTTTTTTGCAGGGAGTTTGAGTTGCTTCCTATGTTTTGCATGAAATGGTGCAATGTGTACTGTTTTTCTACAAAAGCTTGTGTCATTCTTAGTATTTTTTATCGTTTATTTGTTGTTTCGGTGCCTCGACCCATCATGATGAGCTGGCTTTTCCAAGCACATAATTATTTCTATTTTTGGACGTGGTCGTTAGTCAAAATGTATCCATTTGGCGAAACCCTATGCCTGGTCACTAAACAATGGTGGCGGCGTGACACCGTTTCCTCCTAAGGCGGTGCTTGGGTTCATGTGGAGACCCATCAGAGTGGAGGTTGGAGTCGGTGCCATCATACAGTCTCAGCAGCAAAGCTTAGGACGGTGTATTGCTATTGCTATGGTGTTGGTTGCTGACATGAGCATGGGCCTTTGAGGCGTGTGTATGCTGTCGCATCTTCGACATTGTATTCCTAGGGTTCACACCGAGTCATGTTACCCACTAGATGATTCTTTGTAGGCGCAAAGGGTGGAGGGTGCGTTAACCTAGACTCACCTAAAGTCATGGGCATGCTTCCAAAGTGTTTGGTATCAGTCATAACACAACTTTGGTACTCTGTGTCCCACCTCTTCACCATTCATGGCTTGCAGTTGGATACAGTTGTGGTGGGTGCGATCGCTAACCCTCTGGATAGGGTTGTATCAACCGTCTGGCTCTTCGTGTATGAAATCGATACACCTCTTAGTGATGTATTCTAGACATAAGAACAACATTTTCCTGCATTCACTTAGTGGGAGACGACGTTCACGTCGAATATGAGGCATGTGTTGACTTTGTCAGTCTCAAGGTTTGACGACTCAGACTCCCGAGGGTCTCATGGTGGTAAGGTATGTATGCATATTTTTTCATAGGAGTGAGTGCACGTGTGTGCATGTAGACGTTTGCATTTAGAAAAAGATCGGAAAGGATTCTATATCTAAATTTCATAACACTATGTACAACTAAATAATGGTTAGATTGGACAAAATTAGATTTAACGTGTGATGGTGTGATGTGTTATGTTTTTCTATAAAAACTTGCTTCATTCTTAGTATATGTTTATCATTTTTGTTGTTGTTTTGATGGCTCGATCCATCCTGAGTTGGCTTTTCAAAGCACATGTTTATTTCTAATTTTGAACATAGTTGTTAGTTGAAATGTGTTTGTTTGGCGAAACCCTAGGTCTGGTTCACTGAGCGATGGTCGTTTTCTCCTAGGGGTTGCTCGTGTTCCTGTGGAGACCCACCAGAGTGAAGTTGGAGTCGGTGCCATTGGCCGGTCTCAGTAGCAAGGCTTAGGATGGTGTATTGCTATTGCTATGGTGTTGGTTACTGCCATGGGCATGAGCCTTTGAGGCGCTTGTACGCTTCCGCTGCCGCCTCCCCGACATCGTCTTCCTAGGGTCCACACTGAGTCATGTTACCCACTGGATGATTCTTCATAGGCGCAAAGGATGGAGGGCGCGTTAACCTAGACTCACCTGAAGTCATGCTTGTGCCTCTGAAGTGTTTGACATCGATCATGACACAACTTTGGTACTCTATGTCCCACCCCTTCGTCATTCATGGCTTGTAGTTGGATACAATTGTGGTGGGTGCGATCGCGAACCCTCTGGATTAGGGTTGTATCAACCGTCTGTTGGGGAACGTAGCATGCAATTTCAAAAAAATTCCTACGCTCACGCAAGATCTATCTAGGAGATGCATAGCAACGAGAGGGGGAGAGTGTGTCCACGTACCCTCGTAGACCGAAAGCGGAAGCATTAACTTAACGCGGTTGATGTAGTCGAACGTCTTCTCGAATCAACTGATCAAGTACCGAACGTACGACACCTCCGAGTTCTGCACATGTTCAGCTCGATGACGTCCCTCGAACTCTTGATCCAGTAGAGGTACGAAGGAGATGAGTTTCGTCAGCATGGCGGTGATGGTGATGTGATCCGCACAGGGTTTCGCCTAAGCACTACGACAATATGACCGGAGGAGTAAACGGTGGGGGAGGGGGGGCACCGCACATGGCTAAGACAATTGATGTGCTTTTGGGGTGCCCCCGGCCCCCGTATATAAAGGATGAGAGGGGAGAGGGCCGGCCAGGGCGCGCCCCCAAGTGGGGAGTCCTACTAGGACTCCCAGTCCAATTTGGACCCCCTTCCTTTCCGGAGGGGGAAAAGGGGAAAGAAAGAGAGATAGATGGAGAAGGGAAGGGGGGTCGCGTCCCCTCCCCTAGTCCAATTCGGACTCCCCATAGGGGGCACCTCCTGTGGACTGTCTCCTCCTCTCCCCTATGTC